AGAGGACAAAGAGACACAGACAGAGAGAGAGAGAGAAGAGGGGGAGAAAAGAAGGATGAGATAGACAGAGAGATAGAAAGAGAGAGAAAGAGACAAAAGAGACAGGGGAGGTGAGAGCAGCAACATTGCAGGGAATGGAGACCTGGTGCTTTCAAGCAACACGGAAGTCCCCTCCCAGGCCCTCCACGTCGGTTCCTCTTACTCTCCTGTCGTGTGGTGGGCTCTCCCTGCGTGTCTCCTTCGACCCGCGACTTCCCTGCCAGTCCACAATCCTTGGTCAGGGGTGAGGTTAGCTGTATCTGGTCCCTGGGCTGCGCAATCAGTCCATAAACTGGGAGCTCAAACCACAGCGACCGTGTCCCTTGCGTCCGGATCCGGAGTGCGGGACGCGGGAGTCTCTGGGCCCCTCCCGGTCCACGGGCTCCGGAGAGCTCCTTCCGCCTCTCCGGCTCCCGGCTCCGGCGTCCCTGGGCTTCGTGGCCGAGCACTCACTCCCGCCTCCTGCCTCCTCGGTCTGCCTCCACGTGGCTTCTCCTCCCGTCTGCTCCCCTCTGCCTCTCTCACGGGACCTGCCTGACACTTTGCATTTAGGCCCTCCTGATTTACAACCACTTATTCTTCTAATTGCATCGTCAGACACTTATTTCCGAATGACGCTTCCCCTTCGCACCTGCCAGGGTAGACGTGAGTTTGGGCGGAAGGAGGGGAGGTGAGACCGCCATGGTCACCCCAAGGCAGGACTCAAGAAAGATTACGATGACAGAAAAGCGCACGCCTCCTTCCTCTTCGGCGCAGGCGCCTTCCACAGACTAGCGCGGAGGTGGACAAGTGGGGGTAGCGGCTTATCTCTGGGGTCCCGGATAAGCCGCGCCAACACGTTGGCCACCACCTCCCGAGAGAGCACTGTCCCGCGGAGCAGGGCTGGATCTCCTGTGGGAACAAACCGGCGCAGGGCACCCACCTTCGTCGGGAAGGCCGACCCGTCCTTCCCGGGGGGAACCGCGCCGTGCTCCCGGGCCGGCGCGCATGCGCACCACCTCCGGGATGTCGAACACGGTGACCTGGCAGCCGGGGTACAGAGACGCGCACTCCCTGGCCAGCGCCCCGGAGCCGCCTGGAAGAACGGGCGGAGAACCTGTGAGCGTCGGCGACCCGCCGGGCAGCGTCCCGCCCCACTCGCCAGGGCACGGTCCAGGCTGCGCACTCGGTCCTCCCCATCTGCCGCGCAAGGTTCCGTCATCGTCCACGCGGCCCTGAGTCCCGGTGGTCTTCCTGCGGGGGGCCGGGCCGGGCTGCAGGCTCCCCGCACTGCCTCGACTTACCTATCTGTGTGCCCCTGTGGTGGGCGCACCTGCCTGGCCTGCCCCGACAACGGGCAAGCGAAGGAGACGGAGTGAAACCTCCGAGAGGCGCGCGCTCTAGTCCCTCCTGCGCCCCGCAGACCTGCGCTCCGCGCCGCCTGCGTAGTTTTGTCGCCCCACGCTGCTCCCCGACAAGGCAGCCCCGAACCCCACTCGTCCTCACGGCATCTCATGATAACTCGAAATAAATAACCCATCGCAGTCATGATCCCTGCACACGCTCTTCCTCCTTCCAAGAGGGACCTGCCACGACCCCGGGGCTGCTCTGCGCGACCCCTGCGTGCACACACGCGCGCGCTTAACCATCACGCCGGCATCATCCCAGCTCTGACATACACCTGAGGAAAACTGAGGCACCGGGAGAACCTGTGCAAAGTCACGCAGCAAGGGACGGGGCAGAAGGCGCTTTGCTACCCAGGCGGGTGGCTTGTGGCTCAGTGTTAAACCCCCGAAGCGGGGCGCTCGCTGCCCGCAGACGGCAGAGGGACGCTGCGCTGGAGATCCTGCTTGGAGACTTTCCTCAGTTTACCCCTGTTGCTGCCCTGTGGGTTCCGGGGGACACCTGAGAGCCAGGCATGGTGGAGTGGTGCCTTGAACCCTGACGTCGTCACAAGCAGCAGCAGCTAAAACCCCCAAACCGCTGCGGAGCGTCCCCTGGTGTGGGAGGGCCATGCCTGGCGACACCATCCGTGCCTGCTGCGCCTACCCGAGACGGCATCTCAGGCTCGCGTTTCCCTCCCAGGAGCTCACGTTTCTGGCCGTTCCTGGCGCCTCCCCCGCGGGGAGGAGCGCGGGGCGGTGCAGACAGCGAAAGGGTTTGCTAATTAAGCACCCCAAGAGTTAGACCCTGACTCCGCCCCTTCTGCCTCGATGGAGCTGCGGGTTCCTAACCGAGATCCTCCCGGGACCTGGTGCGCCCGGCGACTCACCCCCGGGAGACGCCCCTGCGACACCCAGGTGCCCCGCTCCCCCGCCCAGCGCCAGGCCACGGGGTCCCCCAGGCGGAGGGCGGCATCTGCGCCCCAGAACCCCGCCTGCTCGCTGCAGGCTAGGGCGGTAAGTTGCCTGCACCCCCAAGGGTGCAGCGTGAAAAGCCGTCAGCGTCAGCTCCAGGGCGCTGCTGACGGTTGTCCCGCAGCGGGAAGCGCGGGCCTAGCCGGCTGGAGGCAGAGAAGGACGCCACGGCCTAAAGCACCAGCCTCAGCCCAGGTGCGGGGCTCACTGTCGTAGAATACAGGGGAGTCACGGGACTTTTGAGGTTCGGCGAGGCCAGCAGGCCAGGAGATGCTGGCGTGGGAGAGGAGGTGTGTTACCCACAGACGCCCAAAGGAGGAGGGTGGCAGCCACCCCGTGGAGGTCACAGCGGGGGCCACGTGTGCTCCCCGCTGTGGGAGGGAATGAGAAGAGAAAGTGGGCAGGGGCTTTCCTTGTGCATCTCAGGGGGAAGAACAGGTGAGGCAGAGACAGCAGGTTTAGGATTGGCTCGTTTTCCACACATTGATCGAGTATTGCAAATATTGTATCACACTAACCGCCACGTGAGTTGTATTTAACTCACGCTCGTTTGGGGGAGCCGAGGCCCCGTGAAGCGTGTGTAACTCACACCCGCACTCTTCCCCTCGGGAGAGCGGCGTTTCAGGTTGCGTCAGAACCCAGAAGACAAGAGCCGGGGCCCGACTAACGCGCTCCCCACCCACGCGGAAGGCGGGGCGCAGCTCCGGCGCTCGGGGCACGGGCACTCACCCCCGAGGTCGCAGACGAGCGGGAACGGGGACAGGTCGAAGGCGGCCAGCACGCTGCGGCCGGCGACGCTCCAGACCTCCTGCAGGCCCCGCGTGAACCGCAGCCGCTCCGCGTCCGACCTGGGGCGCCGAACCACGCGCGTGAGTATCTTGCAGCGTCAGGTGCGCGCGCTGTGGGCAGCGGCACGGGGACCCTCCACGGGGGTGGGGGACAGAGCCGTGCCCCGAGGGTGCGTGTGACAGCTGGGGGGCCTGGGCTACCCTAGCAGGACATGATTTGGGGTGGGGGCGTGTAGGTCCGCCGCCAACGCACTGGGCCCAGCTCTGGGAACCTGCAGCAGGCTCAGGGCGGGGAAGGAAGGGTCCGTCCCTGTCCTGCTCTAGGCCTCAGCCAGCCGGAAATGCAGGAAGTGTCAGTAGCTCACCGCCAGATAGACATGCTGATGCTACAGCTTCTTGCAAACTCCACCGCCGTGTGCAAAAGCAAAGCAAGGCAAAGAACCGCGGCCTTGCCCGGGCACCTCCGGGCAAACAGAAACCAGGGCCTCCCTTCCCTACGTAAACCTGGGGCTTGTATGCAGTTTCGCTTGGCCGGAAGGCCCGATGACTTAGCATCTACTTAGGAGTCTGCTCAATACAGGCATCAGGATGGCAAAATTAAGGGTGAGAGGGGGCAAGGGAAGGTTATTATTTTAAACTAAATACCAGTGTCCTTCTCGGTTGTCTCGTGTTGGACACACCGATGGATCGATTCTTGTAAGTACTTTAACACATTAACTGCCACGTGAGTTGTATTTAACTCACGTTCGTTTTTAGCCCGGGGCCTCAGGGAGCATATGTAACTCACCCGTCTCTTCCCCTTGGGAGCCTCGAGAATTGGTTTTCAAATACATATAACTCATGCATGGAAAACAATTAAAAATAACAAATTTTTCTTGTCATGTTGTTCTTTCTGATTTTAAATGATCATTTTGTTCTCGAAGTTCTTATTCTGTCTTTGTAAAATAAAACACCATGGCCCCAAGAAAAAAAATGTTTTTTTTCTAGTGGGGCAGCCCATGAGTTAAAAATTAGTGTGGTCTTACCATTGGTGGTTTCGAGGAGGTCAGGGTTACCTGTAGATGGCACTGAAGAGCTCTTCTGAGGGAACGCCAAACACCTGCAGGTACCGGTTCTTCCCTTCTCTGACAAAAGGGAAAAGAAACTCAGACAGGTACTGGGCATCACTGAGCACACACAGGCGGCCACAGACCCTCACCGTGAACCCTCTACGGGACAAGCAGGAAACATAAATAAGTCGCCTGCACACACAGACTCCTAACCAGTGCTCAATCGGTCCCTGTGCAGAGCTGAGGGCCAAGGTGAGCAAGGAAGAAATGAACTTTAGCGACCATCTGGAGACAGCGTGGACAGGGCACGCAGTTGGGTATTGGATGTCTCACCGGCTGGGGTCTACAGACAGGAAACGCCTCGCAGGTGGATGGACATCCTGTCTGTCTATCTGTCTATGTATCTGTCTACCCATCCATCCATCTATTCATCCATCTATCCATGCATCCATGATGCATCCATCCATCCATCTACCCATCCATCTATTTATGTACGTATCTATCTACCTATCTGTCCACCCAGCCACCCATCCATTCATCCATCCATCCATCCATCCACCTATCCACTCATCCATCTATCCATTCATCTATTATATCCACCCATCTATCAATTCATCCATCCATTTATCCATCTATCTATCCATCCATCCATCCATTTATCCATCCATCTATCCATCCATCCATTTATCCATCTATCCATCCACCCATCCATCCATCCATCTATCCATCCATCCATTTATCCATCTATCCATCTACCCATCCATCCATCTATCCATCCATTTATCCATCTATCTATCCACCCATCCATCTATTGTATCCATCCATCTATCAATTCATCCATCCATCCATCTATCCACCCATCTATCCATCCATCCATTTATCCATCCACCCACCCATCCATCTATCCATCCATCCATTTATCCATCTATCTATCCACCCATCCATCCACCCATCCATCCATCCATCCAGCTACCCATCCATCCATCCATCTACCCACCCATCCATCTATCCATCCATCCATTTATCCATCTATCCATCCATCTATCCACCCATCCCTACCCACCCATCCATCTATCCATCCATTTATCCATCTATCCATCCATTTATCCATCTATTTATCTATCTATCCACCCATCCACCCATCCATCCATCCATCCACCCATCCATCCATCCATCCAGCGACCTACCCACCCATCCATCCATCTATCCACCCATCCCTACCCACCCATCCGTCTATCCATCCATCCATTTATCCATCCATTTATCCATCTATCTATCCATCCATCATCTATCCATCCATCCATCCATCCATCCATCCATCTATCCACCCATCCACCTATCCATCCACCTACCCATCCATCCATCCATCTACCCACCCATCCATCCATCCATCCATCCACCTACCCATCCATCCATCCATCCATCCATCTACCCACCAATCCATCTATCCATCCAGCGACCTACCCACCCATCCATCCATCTATCCACCCATCTATCTATCCATCCATCCCTACCCACCCATCCATCTATCCATCCAGCGACCTACCCACCAATCCATCCATCCATCCACCCATCTATCCATCCATCCCTACCCACCAATCCATCCATCCATCCACCCATCTATCCATCCATCCCTACCCACCCATCCATCCATTTATCCATCCATCCATCAATCCATCCATCTATCTGTTTATGTACGTATCTATCATAGTGGTTTCTAACTAAAGGCCATTTCATGCTGAGGGGACATTGGGCAATGTCTGGGGACATTTTCATTGTCACAGCTGGGTGGCCTCACTGGCATCTGGTGGGTGGAGCCCCAGAACGCTTCTCTGTACCCGCAGCACACAGGACGCCACCTCCCCACCAACCCCCCACCTCCGAGTCACCGCCCCATGTGAAGACTGCCAGGGCTGGGACAGGCCGACAGGTAGCAAGTGAGACAGGTGACAGGTAGCAGTGAGACAGGTGACAGGTGGCAGGTGAGAGCCACTCCCCCGGGTATTTTTCCTCCACTGTTCTGAAGGTCCGTCTCCTCCCCTCTTGTCCTGGCAAAGCGGCGCAGCCTGCTGTCCCGGGGTCACGTCGCTGCAGAACGGAGCGCGTTCTGCTGGCCAGCCCCAGGCGAGTGCGAGGCCCTGCTCCGGTTCACGTCTGGGCAGTGTGTGCACGTGTTTCTACACAAGCCCTGACTTCCCTCCTCCTCCGACACCCTCTATCTGACCAGCCCCGGGCGCCGAGGCTCAGCGGACACCCCTGCACCACGCCCACCTCACGGCCTCGGCCAGGTGGGCCCAGCAGCGGTAGGTCGTTCTGGCCATGTAGAGCAACATGTTGCGCTGGCACGTGGGGCTGCCGCTGGCCAGGTAGGTGCTGGACAGCTCCGAGTTTCGGTAGAACGCTGCAGACAGGCAGAAAGAACAGGACAGAGCAGTGAGACCCCGGTCATGGCCGACATGGGCAGCCTGTGGACTTCCACGTGATTCCGGCCTGGGGGCGTGGATGTCCCTACAGCCAGGGGCTCAGAGACAGGGAGCAAAGGTGTCCCTCAGGAAAGGGGGTCACCTAACCCCTAACTCTAACTGTGCCCCTGACCCTGCAGATGGTTTTTGCAAAGGTAACCCCAGGGCAGGGGGTCACCTAACCCTAATCCTGCAGATCATTTTTGCAAAGGTGACCCCAAGGCAGGGGTCAACTAACCCTAACCATGACCCTGCAGATGGTTTTTGCAAAGGTAACCCCAGGGCAGGGGGTCACCTAACCCTAACCCTGCAGAGCATTTTTGCAAAGGTGACCCTAAGGCAGGGGTCACCTAACCCTAACCCTAACCATGACCCTGCAGATGGTTTTTGTAAAAGTGACCCCAGGGAAAGGGGGTCACCTAACCCTAACCCTAACCCTAACCCTAACCCTAACCCTAACCCTAACCCTGCAGATGGCTTTTGCAAATCCCACTGGAAGTTTGCACGGAGCATATTCGAATGTAAATTTGCGCCTTTGCCAGTTCTGAGTCTGACCCTACATCCTTTCCTCCTCCTCCTCCTCCTCCTCCTGGGACCGGGTGCCCACGGGACCCCGTTGTTCCGCATGGGGCTCTACCTGGCCCTGTTCCTGGTGCTGCCCCCTCTGTGTTTCTCTCCGGACAGGGAGAGTGGCTTTCCCCGTTCCTGAAGAAGAAGGTCTTAACCTTGAACTCCAGCCCGAGCGCTGTAAGTTCTCCACCTGGCGAATGACACCTGTGGGCCACGCATGTGGACCTCTGGGGCAGAGCCCAGAGGATGCATCACCCATGTCTCGGGGCCCAGGGGCAGGGGTGGTGACGGGGCAGAGGGTGCTGTCTGCAGACGCCGGCTGTGGTGGCTGTAGCCAACCCGCACCCTGCCTGGCTTCCGAGCGGGCTGTCTCAGGGGCGCCGAATGCTGCAGTGATATTTCCGGGTCAGGTTGACCCATCCCCGATGTTTGCACCCCAAAAGCCAACCGGTCCAAGCCCCCCCTCCCCCCGCCAGCAAAGAGGTCCCCACCCGCCCCTCTTAGGTGGGTGTCCCTATCGAGCAAGTTTTTGTAAATCCCATTGGAAGTTTGGGCAGAGCACAAGCGGAAACCTATATTATAGTCTATGGAAGATTTTCAATAAGGACTTATTTAAAAACAGAGAAGCAGGGATGCCTACTTTAGATCAGACCAGACCACACCTCCCTGTTCCTTCATGCATCCACCCAAACAATGGTTCCTAGGCATTGCGATTTCATCGATCTACAAGATGCAAAAACAATGTGGCTGTGCACACAGCATTCGTGCTTTTGAATTTTGCAAAGTGAGAACATAAAAAACAAAACCCCAGACTGACCCTCTCTTATCTATCACTCATCGTGATCCATAAGAGAAAAGACACTTCAACACACCAACACAAGAAGAATATCCTCTCATCATTGGGAATGACAGCCCTGTAACTGCATATGTGTGGCTTGATGGAAAATTGCTCACCTACGATTTTTCCCCCCACCCTTTGTCTCACTCCTTGGCCACTTTATCAGGGCGCAGATGCACACGCTAAGGTTGCAACTTCCAAACGGCAGTCAGACAGCTACAGCCCATGTGCTGTTGAATGCGGCCCCCCATTTGTTTTTATAAATAAAGTTTTATTGGAACCCGGCCACGTGCACTCATAGGCACAACGCCCCCGGCTGGCCTGATGTTGCCAGGGGCAGAGCGAAGCAGCTGCCGCAGAGACCGCAGGGCCCACAAAGCTGAAAACATTTCCTATCTCAGCCTTTCACAGCAAGCGTGTGCGTGTTGCAAAATGCCTCCTCCAAAATGCCACGAGCCCTCACCTCTTCCTCCTCTCACTTCTACCTTGAGCAGCTTCAGGGCGGCGCAGGTGTCCAGCAGCAGCTCTGTCCCGTGGGGGCTGCAGCCCAGACGGGAGGCCGCCGCAGCCGAGTCCAGGGGCCCCGGGGCCTGGGCGAGGAGGTCGAACACGCCCAGCTCACAGGCGGCGAACAGAACCTGGGAGCAGCAGCAGAGACAGAGGGACGGCGGTCAGTCCCCCGGGAACACGCACACCACGGCCAGCCGGAGCGGACGTGCTGTTTTCGTGTTGCTTCTATTATTTCAGAGTTATTACGGGGGTACAAACGCTTTTGGTTACATAAATTGCCCTTGCACGGCCCGAGTCAGAGCCGCAGGCGTGCCCGGCCCCAGACATCTCCCAACCGCGCCACTGCTGACATCGGGGCCGGGCCGGTAGTTCCTTGCCGGGAGAGCGGGGGGCGTGCTGTGCGCCGTGGGGTGTTCAGCAGCGTCTCTGGTCCTCACCCGCTAGGGCAGGGCTCCCCAGCCTACGGTGAGTCCTGTGATTATTTCGTTATATATTGCAACGCAGTAAGAATAGAAATAAAGTGCACGATAAATGGAATGAGCTTGAATCGTCCCAAAACCATCCCCCCAACCGGTCCCTGGAAAAAACTGTCTTCCGTGTAAGCGGTCACCAGTGCCAAAAAGGTTGCGGACGAGTTTCTAGAGGATGTCGCACCTTGCTCCTCCCAGAGGTGACGAGCAAATCTGTGCAAAGTCCCCGAGAGGGAGCCACTGTGATAACGTTCTATTAACTCACGTTCAGTTAAGGTTGTGCTCCCTGTTGTTACAGCTGTATTCGCCCTGGTTCTGTTAAGGTCCTGTTAGCTCTCGTTCTCTTAAGGTTGCATTAATTCTTATTCTGTTAAGTTTGCATTGACTAGTTTTTCTGTTAAGGGTGCAGTAAGTTTTATGCTATTAAGGTTGTGCTAGCTCTTGTTCTGTAAAGGTTGCGTTAATTCCTGTTCTATGAATACTGCATTAAGTAATTGTTCCGCTAAGGGTGCATTAGGTTTTATCCTACTAACATTGTATTAACTCTTCTTCTGTTAGGGTTGTATTAATTCTTGCTCTATTAAGTGTGCATTAACTAATTGTTTTGTTAAGGGTGTATTAAGTTTCATCCTATCAAGGTTGTATTAACTCTTGTTCTATTTAAGGTTGTATCAATTTTTGTTCCATTAAAATATTGCATTAACTAATTGCTAAGGGGGCATTAAGTTCTATCCTATTAAGGTTGTATTAGCACTTGTTCTATTAGACTTGTGTTAAAATGTATCCTATTAAGGCTGTAGTAGCTCTTGTTCTATCAAGGTTGCATTACATTGTATTCTATTAAGTCTGTATTAACCCCTGCACCGCTAACGTGTTAACCCTGTGCTACTAGGCTGTATTTGGTTTTATTCTATCAAGGTTGTATTAATTCTTGTCCTGTTAAGGTTCTGTGAAGTGCTGGTTTTATTAAAGGCTGTACTAAGTTTATTCTATTAAAGTTGTGTTAGCCCTGCTAGGTTAAGGCTGTATTAACTCTTACTCTGTTAAGGTTGGGCTAAGTTTTATCCTATTTTGGTTGTATTAAGTTTTATCCTATTAAGGCTGCGTTAAGTCTTGTTCTCTTGAGGCTGCATTAACTAATTGTTCTGTTGAGGGTGCATTAAGTTTGTCCTACTGAGGCTGCATTAACTAATTGCTCTGTTGAGGGTGCATTAAGTTTGTCCTACTGAGGTTGCATTAACTAACTGTTCTGTTGAGGGTGAAATAAGTTTTATCCTACTGAGGCTGCATTAACTAATTGTTCTGTTGAGGGTGCAATAAGTTTTATCCTACTGAGGCTGCATTAACTAACTGTTCTGTTGAGGGTGTGTTAAGTTTTATCCTACTGAGGTTGCATTAACTAATTGTTCTGTTGAGGGTGTGTTAAGTTTTATCCTACTGAGGTTGCATTAACTAATTGTTCTGTTGAGGGTGTGTTAAGTTTTGTCCTACTGAGGTTGCATTAACTAATTGTTCTGTTGAGGGTGCAATAAGTTTTATCCTACTGAGGTTGCATTAACTAATTGTTCTGTTGAGGGTGCAATAAGTTTTAGCCTACTGAGGTTGCATTAACTAACTGTTCTGTTGAAGGTGTGTTTTGTCCTACTGAGGTTGCATTAACTAACTGTTCTGTTGAGGGTGCGTTAAGTTTTGTCCTACTGAGGCTGCATTAACTCCTGTTCGGTTAAACTCGTGGCAACTCACGTAACGTGCTACCGGGTGTCCCGAAGTGATTTTTCTCTCGAGATCTGCAACCCAAGGACCCACCCCTGAACCCCACCGTGACCCGGCACCTGGCACTGAGCGGGCACCGGGCAGCCCCCCGCCGGCCACATACATTCCGACGAGGGGAGGGAAACAAATCTGAGTGTGTCCTGTGGGCAAATGCTCCCTGTCTGTATTCCAGTGGCTCTAAAATAGTTCATTCTTAACCGCTGGGAGCCCACGGACAGAATTCGGAGGATCCGTGGACTTGGACGGGGAAGAAATTTCACTTTACTTGTCACTAACCGCTGGCTGAGCCTCGGGCATCTCTCTGCCTAGAGGTGGTTTGGCCACAAAACTGTCAAGACCTGCGTCCTCAAAACTGAAGTTTCACTCAATAACAAACAAGCAAGCAAAAGCATTGGGGGAAAAAAAAAAAACCCTATCGCATGAGAGAAGCCCAGTCTCACCCGGAAAATTGAGCTCGGGAAGCGTTAATTCTACCTGCACATTTAGATCCTCGGTGCACGGGGCTGCTCGGCACCTGGACCACCAGACAGAGACCGAGTGCCCTGCCGTCCGGCACAGCACGCTGGGCGCCTGGTTGGGACCACCCCCAAGTTTAATGTCCTTGTTCAACAGACCTAACACCTCTGGGTCTTTGAGAAAATAAAATCTAACTCTCTTAATTTTTTTTGAGACTTTTGCTCTGTTGCCCAGGCTAGAGTGAGTGCCGTGGCGTCAGCCTAGCTCACAGCAACCTCAAACTCCTCGGCTCAAGCGATCCTCCTGCCTCAGCCTCCCGAGTAGCTGGGACTACAGGCATGCGCCACCACACCCGGCTGATTTTTTATATATATATATTTTAGTTGTCCAGCTAATTCCTTTCTATTTTTTTTAGTAGAGACGGGGTCTCGCTCTGGCTCAGGCTGGTCTCGAACTCCTGACCTCGAGCGATCCTCCCTCCTCGGCCTCCCAAAGTGCTGGGATTACAGGGGTGAGCCACCGCGCCTGGCCTAAGATCTAACTCTGACTTCTCTCAAAGCCTTGAAAGTAAAACCCACGTCACAGAAGACTCACCGTTAACCGTTTTAAAGCGGACGGTTCAGTTCACAAAGCTGTGCGACCCCCACCTCTGTCTAGTTCCAGAACTCTCTTGTCCCCCCAAACGGAGACGCCGTCCCCATGAACACTCACTCCCCACGCCCCCTCCCCAGCCCCGGGCAAGCACGAGCCCACTCTCTAAGGGTCTGTCTGTTTTGCAGACATTTCATGTAAATGGAGCCATGCAAAATTTTCGACCTTCTGCGTCTGGCTTTGTCACCGATCTTGGTGCTGCTCAGCCAGGAGAAGACATGACGTACGGACGCACCTCCAAATCCCACCTCTCCGGTAAACGGGCTGCCTTTTTGCACACTCACAGACACACACACACACACACGTATATTTTGCTCTATCTCAAACTGCCTTCTTCACCGCTTCAGCAGCTGTCCTTCCATCCCCGGCATCTGCTCTGTCATCCTACACGGTCTACTTCCAGCTTTGCAAGAACAGCCTTCTGAGGCCGGGCCCGCGGGTGTAGACAGACCCCGAGACAGGGTCCTCATCCGTGGAACTGCCCGGCTGCGGCTCGATGACCGTGTGCGTCTCCCTTGCCCGTCCCCCCTGTGCCGTGGCCCCCATACCTGGGACACCATGAAGCCGTTGGAGTACTCGTTCAGGAGGCGGTAGGCGTCGTCCTGGGGGGACCCCATTTTCCTCCCGGTTGTGAGAGCCCCCCGAACGACGGCAGCAAGGTCCCCGCTGCAGAGCGAGCCAGCCAGCTGGGAGTGGCCGCCTGAGGCTCCCGCCTTATTTCGGCTGCACGGACCGCCCCAGCAAAATTCCACTGAGCTTATGAAGGGATCACACGCGTGTGGGCGGTGCCCTGCCTGCCCCTCACGCCCTCTGCCCTGGAAGCGTGCACGGCCCTGGAACAGCCCGCCCGGTGCCTTCCAGACCTCAGCCGTAGAGCCGATCCCAAACCGATCCCAAACCGATCCCAAACCCATACACCGGCCCATCGCCTGCATTGATTAGTCATTTCTTGGCATGGACAGTGGCTGGTCTCCTCCACACGGTCTGGACCGAAGCGGGTGTGTTTGTTTCCGGGTGACCGTGGCAAAACGGCAGGAACCGGGTGGCTCTAAACAGCAGCTCTCTGCCTGTTCTGGAGCCTGGTGTCCACTGTTGCTATATCGAACGGGTCGTATGCTAGTTGCGCTGACAAAGACCTGTTTCCGAGTCACTCCTTTCACCAGTATTGGGAATTAGGGCCTCAACACTCCTTTCTGGAGCACACGGCCCAACCCAACCCACAACGGGAGGGAGAGCGGGGCTTATCGAGTTGGAAGTTGGGCTTATCTCACCGCTGGAAGAATTATTTTTGTTGCTGCTGTTTTTGAGACAGGGTGTCGCTCCATCACCCGGGCCAGAGCGCCGTGGTGTCATCATAGCTCTCTGCAACCTCAAACGCCCGGGCTCAAGCGATCCTCCTGCCTCAGCCTCCTCCTGAGTAGCTGGGACTACAGGCATGCGCCACCATACCCGGCTAATTTTTTTTCAATTTTTTAGTAGAGATGAGTGTTGGGAAAATATGATTGAGGAATTAATGAGATGTGGCTCATAAGACCATTATTCTGTTGCATAACCCAATATTGCTATATTAAAGACAGAAACAGGAGTTTGCAGGGTTTTGCCCTGAAGGCATGTGTGGACTCGATGGTTCACTTATCAGAGGCTGGTATCCTGGGAGAGCCCTCAAGTCTCCAGTAGGGATGTTTTCCAGGAAGGCTTCCCGATATCTCAAAATCTGTGACCCTCCCCTGTGTCTTGAAAGCAAGTACCTGTCATCCTAGCTCTCTGGGAGGCTGAGGCGGGCGGATCACTCGGGGTCAGGAGTTCAAAACCAGCCTGAGCAAGAGTGAGACCCCGTCTCTACTATAAATAGAAAGAAACTAGCTGGACAACTAAAATAATATATGGGAAAAATTAGCCGGGCATGGTGGCGCATGCCTGTAGTCCCAGCTACTCGGGAGGCTGAGGCAGGAGGATCGCTTGAGCCCAGGAGTTGGAGGCTGCTGTGAGCGAGGCTGATGCCACGGGACTCACTCTAGCCTGGGCAACAAAGCCAGACTCTGTCTCAGAAAAAAAAAAAAAAGAAGAAAGACAAGGCAAGGCAAATATGGCCCACAGGATGGGAGCCAGAGACAATGAGTGCACTTTGCTCAGAGAAGTGCCCCAGTAGTTATAAACAACCTGTTTTATAGAGATGGGCTTCCTGCTTCTCCTGTCTGTCTCTAAGCACCATAACTAATCAAAGAAATATAGAGTCACTACACCTCTTTTGTTATACCTTTGTTAATTGACAACTACCTTTCAGAACTTAGAAGTTAGCCCCTAAAAGACTCTGTACCTGTTTGTTCACCTAGATAGATTAGAAGCCCTTTGAGAGGACTTTTGACCCTAACCCACTACCTGTACATTCCTGTCTCCCCTAGCAACTGCATTCCCTGAGATATGCAAATATGTTGCCGTGACAACTGGTAATTGATGTCTGTGATTATAAAAACCTGTATGAATCTAACCGTATTGCTGGACATTCACTGGGATATGTCCAGTCTCCTGAGTAACCCCGCTGCTATGTCTGATCTTTTATATAAAACTATAAACTATACCTTAGTCTGTGTGTTCTTTTATTCTATTTCCTATCAGTTTCCTTATCTATCCTCTGTGGCGACCCCTATCTTAGAGAATTGGCTCTGTGGGGAGAAGCAGCTGACCTCCGTCTCGGGCCTGCCTCAACTACTCCCCTGCAGATGGGGCCTCAGTCTTCCCCAGGCTGGTCTCGACCCTGAGGCCTCAGCTATCTCCGCCTGGGCCTCCCAGAGTGCTGGGATTACAGGCGTGAGCCTCCACGCCCCTTGCCTGGCTTAAAGGATCTTTAAAACACGATCCGAAACACAGCCCTTCTTGGCTTTCAACAGCAAACAAATTGTGTCCCAAATCATTCTCTCAATGTCCACGTTGAAATTATTTTCCACTGCGTTTTTTTTTTTTTTTTTTTTTTTTTTTTTTTTTTTTTTTTTGCTGCAACTAAATATATGTAGGAAGAACACCGGCGGGAGGGGGTGCTCAAGAGTTGCCTCTCAAACGTGGTCACGTCATCCTTTTCGCCATCTGCTTTTTCCCTTCACCTTGCAGGAACTCGGGAACCGGCCGCCAGGTGGGGGACAGGAGGGAATTGGAGCTGGGCTTCCGGGGATTGGGTGGCAGCGCCGCTGCTGTTCCCCTCTTGTCCGGGCAGGATCTGTCGCCCACCCTGGCCGTCGTCCTCTGGGTCTCCGTCCTCCACCGTGCCAGGAAGGCTGCATTGTGGGTCTTTGGTTGTGGATCCAAGCGGTTCCGTGGTGGGACAAGTGGACGGAGCGCCTGCCCAGGAGGCTAGGGTTTGCAGAGCCAGCAGAGAGAGAGAGAGATTTTAGAGCCGCGAGAAGGAGGGTGGGGACGGACCAGCATCTTGAGCGGCCCGGAAGACCAGAACGAGCTGCCCGGAGGCCCGAGGGTCCATCCTGCCAGGGACGTCCACCTCCGCGGAAACAGGCAGTGGTCGGGCTTGGAGGGGCCGCACCAGCGGCAGCCCTGAGAGCCGGGACTGGGTGGACCTTGCTCACTCGACTGTGCCCAGCAGTGGGGCGGGGGGTGCCACTAGCGGACCCTCGGGGCCACACGCAGTAAGCTGCCTGCACAGTGGACAGTGAGGGCAGGAAGAGAGAGTGCCGTGCGGGTGGGGCTGCGGCCAGGCGTTGCGGGGCTCACCCAGCTAGATGGTGTGGTCTGAACGTCTGTGCCGCCAAAATCCACATGCTAGAAACCCTCACCCCAAAGGGATTGTGCTTGGAAGGGTGGGGGCTTCTGGGAGGTGATGGATGAGGCCCTGGAGGGTGGAGCCTGCACCGGATGGACCAGGGTCCTTATAAGTAAAAGGGGCCAGAGAGCGTCCCTCCCCTGTCACCATGTGAAGGACACGGCGGGAAGAGCCCGTCTGTGAACGGGAGGTGCAGTCCGCCGTCCTCGTTCTTCGCCACACACAGGCGCCTAAATCTCTAGGTGTCTTTGCAATGTCGATTGGGAACCCACGGAATAAGCCTGCGTGTAGTTAAAACGGACGCACCTCTGCCCGGTCGTGGGGCCGTGTGCGGCCTAAGAGAGAGCTCAAAGGGGGAGCCAACTCCATCTGGCCAGGAATCTGCACTCTGGTCTGTGGCTGGGTAGAGGAGGGGTCTGCTGTCGGAGAATACAAACATGGCCTGAAGGTGCAGGCGATGACAGACCGGCGCACTTACAGGGGCAGGGGGGCCAGCTGCCGGAGGGCCTGCCAGGTGAGGGCTGCCCTTAGGCGGCGAGCCAGGTGGAGAGACCCCGGAAGAACACTGACAGGGGCTGGAGCTCCAGCGGGAAGTCCGGTGCAGCGCGGGTCCACGCTTTCCAGAAGCAGAGTCGATCACGCGTGTGCAGCACTTAACTGAAGGGGGGGGGTGACGGTCCAGTGCAGCTGCACGGTGGCAGAGCTGGTCGTGGGAACACCACAAACGCTGCCCCATCGCTTCTAAACGCTCTTGGCGGCCGTGCAGGAGCCAAGCGCATCGCCATACGTACTGCGAGAGAGATTTCCCTCCGGCCGGTTGAGAGCAACAAAATAACTTACGCTCCCAAGCAGAACTGCTTTAAAAGTGAACTCTGGCCGGGCGCGGTGGCTGCACGGCCTTGTCTCCCAGGCATCGTCTGGGAGGCCAGGGCGGGGCGATTCGCTCAGTCAAGGAGTTCGAAACCCAGCCCTGAGCAAGAGCCAGACCCCGTCTCTACTATAGATACGAAAAAATTAATTGGCAACCCTACATATATATAGAAAAAATTAGCCATGCACGGTGGTGCATGCCTGTAGTCCCAGCTACTCGGGAGGCTGAGGCAGGAGGATCGCTTGAGCCCAGGAGTCTGAGGTTGCTTGTGAGGGAAGGCTGACGCACCACGGCATTCTAAACCGGGCGATCAGAGTGAGACTCCTGTCTCAAAAAAATAGTAAAGTGAACCTGCTAACGACTTATAGGGGTTCTCTTTGGCGGTGGAAGAAATGTTACACATGACGATGGTGGTATAGCTCACAGCCTGAATATCGTTTAAAACCAGTGACCACTGGACAAACACCTTGCACGAGGGTGAATTCTTACGGGTGTGCACTTGCATCTCCATAAGGCTGGTTTTTAAAGAAAAGATTAAAACATGGAAACCTAGGAATAATGACAAGTGAAACTGCCACAAAGAACACAGCTCAGGCTCCATCCACCGATGCTTCTCTCTGATGCACCTGCAGCTCCCCAAGGCACTTGCAGCTCCCGATGCCACCTGCGTCTCCCCATGTACGCTGCCAGTTAAATCAAAATCCTCCCATGCACCTGCAGCTCCCCATGCACCTGCACACTCCCATGCACCTGCAGGCTCCCGCATGCACTTGCGACTCCCCGATGCATCCCTGCAGCTTCCCATGCACCTGCAACTCCCCCGATGCACCTGCAGCTCTCCTGCACTGCAGCTCTCCATGGCACCTGCGAGCTCCGCCAATGCACCTGCACTCCCCATGCACTGCAGCTCCCCGAGTGGCAGCCTGCAGCTCGCCCATGCACCTGCAACTCCCCATGGCACTGCAGCTCCGCCTGCACTGCAGCTCCCCATGCACCTGCAAGTCTCCCATGCACCTGCAGCTCCCCATGCACCTGCAGCTCCCCATGCACCTGCAGCTCCCCATGCACCTGCAACTCCCTGATGCACCTGCAGCTCCCCATGCACCTGCACCTCCCCAATGCACCTGCAGCCTCCCATGCACCCTGCAGCTCCCATGCAGCCTGCATCCCGATCACCTGCAAGCTCCCCATGACTGCAGCCCCGTGCAGCTCAGCTCCCAATGCACTGCACCTCCCCATGCACCTGCACCTCCCCATGCACCTGCAGCTCCCCGATGCACCTGCAGCTCCCCGTTGCACCTGTAGCTGAGGCAGCTGCCTGAGCTTCCTGGAGCCCCCGACTGCCTTCCCCACCACCAACTCTCCAAGCACCTGAAGACACACTCAGGGCACAGAGACTGGACCCCGATTTCTCCCCTGCATTTCAGTCCAGGGAACTAGCATTTGGCCTGTGACTCTGCATTCGCTAGCAGGGACCATTTTTGCATTTCAACAAATCCACAAAATACACGCCATGCAAGTGAACAAAGTCTCTGTGAAGAATACCATCGAGGTTGCCTGAGGGGCAGAGGAAACTTGCATCAGGGACGGGCGTCTCTGTTCCCGGACACACAGACTCCCACTGAGACCCTAGCGCGGCGTGAGGGGCAGCCACGACAGCCCCGCCGAGCTCCATGTGCACGTTCGCTGCACTTCCCGTGGGAACAAAG